TTTAATCGTGTGGTTGATTTGCTTAATTATGGCTGATTGGTTAACTATGGCCCAATCGTGTGGGTTGATTGATGATCGTGTGGCCGAGAACGAAGATCATGTGGCTGAAATTGATGTTTCATGGTTGATCTTGTACTTGATGAATGATCGTGTGGTTTGAAAGTGGATCGTGTGGTTTATTATGGCTATTGTTGGCTTAGCATGGCATATCGTGATCATATATTGATGTTTGATATCAAAATGAGTGCGATTCATAGTATATTTGTTCGTAGGAAATTACACGTCATAAACACTCGGCATTGGCTAATTAAGAGGATACATTTTCTGCTTCTGAAACAAAATGGTAAGCTTCGTCATGTACGTCATTATGTGTCCGTAATACGTGTTCATATTTTTTTACATATTTGTCTAACCTTCATACTTGTCAGTATAAACGTGGAGGTCACATGCATAGAAGACCAGCCCCTTCCTCGTCCTCGTCCCCGTCCCCGTCTCCGTCCCCGTCCCTTTCCTCTTCCCCTGCTCTTTCATCTAAACCTCAACCACTATATGCTGATGGACAATATGGACACGTTGGCCCTTCCTCCAACACTCAAGAACATGTTAGGGGATTTGGACACATGCGAACTGAATCTCCTTCAATTCCATCTCCTTCAGATCCATCTCCTTCCGTTCCACCTTATTATTCAGCGCAACAATCGAATAATGAGGGAAAAACATGTGAAGAAGATAACCGATTCATGATATGCCCATTTGGAGATTCGTAAGTACTTCATTTTTTTAAGTATATGTAATATTTATGGTTTTAGATATGGATGTCAACTGAATTGTCGATGTTGCACAATATCCGTATGTTTGCAGATTTACGGATGCTACGTTTGTTGTGAGGGAACTGAATAAAATAGTCAAAAACTATTAGATGGGGCAGTATATTAATTACAGCAGTGCTCCACAAGAAGTGAAAGATTTGTGATGGAATGAGTTCAAGGTAAGTTTTAGATATTCTATTTTCTCACCAACTAAGTTCGGTGTAGTATATTGATGGTCAAGAATGATGTAAAGGGACCAGAACAACTCTTTAGTTTTCGGTATTAAAGGGACCATATATTTTTCCTGAGATGAACTTTACAAAATCTATCGCCGAATTATCTGGTGCATGGTAATGGATATGTGACCATCATAATAACTTTCAGTTGTTTTTGTATTGATTGCAGCGGAAGTTCAGGTGGGATGAAGAGGAAGAGAATGAAGTGAGAAGAATTTTTAAGAAGAAAGTCAGTGATCACATACGAAATGTGATGAATAGAGCGAAGATCAAGCAAGTGAAGCCGGCTTTCATTACAGCTGACAATTGGACGGAAATTAAAAGAACTTGGGAAACTGAAAAGAATCAGCAAATGAGTGAGCAGAATAAAAAGAATCGATCTTCTAGTTCTAGTGAAAGGTCTGCCACATATGCTGGGAGCTCTATCAACATTGGAGAGCATCGAAAACGAATGGTAAGTCTGTTAAATAAGTTATAAGTTAATTTAATTCAATTACTCATGTTTACATTTTGTAGGCACATGAATTGGGGACGGAACCGACATTTGCAGCTACATTTGAACGCACATTTAAAAAAAAAAGATAAGACATGGACTGGCGATCGAGCAAAAGCTATTAAGGTATGTAAGGTTATACTTTGGACTTTATGGAAACTAGAATGAAAACCGTGAATGCTTTTAATATTTATGGTAGTTATATATATGAAGTTATTTTATTTTCATCTATATTGTTAATGTAGGAAAAATATGATGAACTTTTAATGAGCAATGCTAGTGGTGGTGATGGTGTTGCTGCGTCTGAGCCATCAGTTGACAGTATGACATTATGGGTAGAGGCAACGGGTGGGATGAAAAAAGGAAAAATATTTGGGATGGGATCCTTGTCAAGGGTATACACGACGAATCATGCTGCAACTTCATCATCCAATGCGGCTGTTCGAAGGAGGACACGACTTGAGGAGCAAATGACCCAAGAATTGAACCAACTGAAAAATATACTTGTAGAGAAGGACGAAGAAATAAATGACTTGAAACAACAAATGCAAATCGTTATGCGACACCTCAACCTCGATCACGATGAGGTTCCTCCTGTACCTCCCGCCAATCCAATAGGTGATGGGCACAATGATGAGCGACACAATGATGCTGAGATTGCTGCTGATGATGATGATGATTTTCTCGGTCCTTTCTAGTTAAAATTCCCAAAATCGGGGGTAAGCTTGCTTCACAATCTTTTGTGCCATAAGTGCAGTTTACCCAATATGATCCTGCCCTACAATTACTTTCTGTGCACAACTTTCTTACAACTAGGTTCTTTGCTTGCGAAAAACTGAAAATTTAGAGATCCCAGGATGACATGCTTGTTACAAAAAATCATGATATTTGAACATTGTAGAAATACATACCTTAATTGACTTTGAGTCCTCTCTTCTTGGGAATTGGTGTTGGTAATTCACCTCTCTAAGTCATTAAACTGTTGAATGCTGTTTGGAGAAGGATCTAATTTTTCGTAAGTGACAGAAATATGGTTTACAAGGGTGAAAAAACTACAGTGGATGTCAAAGTTGACTCATATTCATATGTGAGAACATTGATGTTCGTCCTGAAACGTTTTTTTGTTAACCCTCCTACTTGTTTTTTTATACCTAGTTCTACATCCATGCATAAACGCTTCTTTTATATTTTGGACTGATTGAATATTTTTATTTATGTATCCACATTTCATTAGGTGTCGACAAAAGTGACTGCTTCTGGTGTCCTGCCGAGTACCAAAGCTACCCAATCTTGTGTCTGGTTTGTCGATTTTTCGTTTTTGAAGCAGAATCTATGGTTGTCCCGCTTCCTTTGAATGTTTTGAATATATTATAAGATTGGATATCAAATAGCATCATGTCAGACTTTGTAACTTTGCATATATCATTATTTTTTGCGGACTAGCATCTTTCCTTCAGTTATATTTTTCAATTATATGGCATTGTGTCTGGTTTGTTCGTTTTATGTTTCTGAAGCGGAATCTATGGTTGTCTTGTGTCCATTGATTGTTTTGAATGTATTACATGATGGTCATTAATGCGTAGCTATTGCTATGGACAAGATTTGATGGCCCAAATGGTGTATAATTTGCGACGAATTTTGCGACGAATATTTAGCGATGAATTTTGCGACCAATACAGTTCGTGGCTAATTTGCGACCAATTTTGCGACGAATTTTCCGACGAATAAAGTTCGTGGCTAATTTGCGACGAATTTGCGACGAATAAAGTTCGTGGCTAATTTGCGACGAATAAAGTTTGTGGCTAATTTGCGACGAATTTTGTGACGAATTATTTATGACGAATTTTGCGACGGATAATGTTCGTGGCTAATTTGCGACGAATTTTGCGACGAATAAAGTTCGTGGCTAATTTGCGACGAATTTTTTCCCGTCGCAATTTAGTGACGGAAATTGAAATTTTCCGTCGCAAAATTTTGTGACGCCGAATTAGCGACGGAATTTTTTCCATCGCTAATTTCGTCGCAAATTCGATTAGCGACGGATTTTGCCAAATTTTTCGTCGCAAAATTCGTCGCTAATCCCTTATTTTTTTGTAGTGATATTTCACAAGTAATACATAGACTAATCAGAAGTAGAACAACCACACGCCTGCAACACAAAATGTTTGCACTGAAGAAACAAATTGCAGAGGAACATTGAGCACTGAAGCTACAAAAAGACCAAGTTTCTGCATCCAACTTCTGGAGATCAGTATGTGGGGACAGTTAAGGGGCTCTCTTCAACTACAAATCCACAACTTTTGTTTTCAAGAACAGACGAGATCCACTTCAAATAAAAGCAAAAAAATGGGGAAAAGAAAGGAACAGACGAGGGTACTGTTCACTTGGCCATGAAAAGGGAACAGATTTGAGCTCTTACCTCATCATATTGCTTGAACTTTGAAAAAAGAACGAGATTTCAGATCAAGGAAGCTCACAATGTTAATATTAGTAGATACCTGATAGATGAATGAGTGAACACCGCCATTGCGAATGGCTGGATATATCATTGGGTCGCCAAAGTTGAGAGGAGTAAGAGGAAAAAGGACTCTCGAGAGTTGATCTGAAGGGTGTTATTTTGTGCAGGTCGTACAACTGATGCCGTATTAAAAAACAAAAAAGGGTCATTACAATGAGTGATGTAAATTAATCAAGCTAAACTCGGCATGGAAAACATAACATAAATAAATAATTTGAAAAATTATTAAAATTTGTCCAGGTCAGAGCCGGCTGCACCACGTAGGACAGTCGGCGTTTATGTCAGTGTCAGCCGGCCAAAATTGATCGGATGGACTAAATTGAAACAATTGTTATATGTTTAAGACCGTTTTGGTAAATCTTTCTACCAATTTTTTGCACATGATGGATCAACTCAACCACGTGTGTCCAGCCCAATGCGAGATAATATATTTTCTTAATACAAAAGTTGGGCCCAAATAAAAGAAAAAACACATCTTGGGGCAGATTTTCATCAACTTGTAATTTCCATTTTTCCATTTTGACTAAAAAAATGTGCTATTTCAAATTCCGAAAGCCGTTTCGACAAAAAAAAATTCCGAAATTCACGAAAGTGCTACGTACAATTCGACATGTCAAGATTTCGAGTACTTTGAAAGTGTAAAATGTTTTGTGTTAAATAAAAATGAAAGTATAGGCATCGTAAATCTTATAAAAAATCAAAAGCGAAAAGTTGAAGTCACCATGCGGGTTGCTTTCTGTGAATCCCACTGCATGGATTTGCCACAATTACTTTCGGTCACAATCTGAAAAATTCTCGTGATCGCAATGTTATGGTTCTATTCTCGGACAACCCCAATATACCAATTTGAGAGAAAAGCCTGCTCTAACTTAACTTCCAAAATCATCAAGTATTTCTTAGGTGTCAACAAGATACATGAATCTTGCATCCAGAAAGCATCCGCATACCAAAAATCATATAATGTACAAATTTCGAAGGTTCGAATAACGTTCACAATTGCAAAGACCTCTCTCCAAACGCCTAATTATGTTGCGCCTTCTTGATTGGCTAACTTTATGTCACTACAAATATAACATCCACGATGATCAATCATTTTCCGTTAATTTCCGGAGTTTCTTTGTCATTAAATGTACTAATCTTGATCATCTCATGACTAATGTTCTCCTTCCCGTTGCCCCCGGGGTCAACCAACTTTGTCGGCAACGTTTTTTGCTCGTCTAATGGCGAAGAACAAGACTCGTAGTCCTTGCTTTTGCCCCAAACAACAAGGTATAAACCAGCCGCAATGACGATGGCACCGATAATCCTGGTGCAACAAAATTAATTAGCATGACATGGTTTTTGAAAGTGATAATTAGCATGGATTAGGGGAGAAATTTGAGGAGGAAAGAAGAAGTACCTTCCCAAGAAAAGCCGCTCGGCTAAAATGAAAGTACTCAAAACAGCGACAATCACCGTACCTAGAGGACTGAAGACCGTGACAAAAACCGGTCCTTTGTCTTTCATGACCACACCTTGAAGGTAATAAGTCACTCCGGAGCACACTATTCCCTGCATTTACCAATTATGGTACGAATCATTAGTTAACAATGTAATAATAAAGATGAGAAGGTAACTTTCTTGTTTCGAAAATAAAAATGATTTCTAGTGAAAACATTATATAAAAACTTTCATCTACTTATAAAATATATGCAGTATTCTAAGTCAGCGGGTGAAACTGTTGAGGATCTACCTTGATTACACAGAAATACTAAAATTAACAAAGGAATATATAGGGTAAGTGCACCGAAAATTCTAAAATTTGTTACGAAAGTGCAATTGAGTCTTAAAATTTTCAAAATGTGCAATCAAGTCCTAAAACTTGTCACAAAAGTACAATCGAATCCTAAAATTTTCAAAAAGTACAATTAACAGAATGACTTGATTTCACAAATTTGACAAGTTTTAGGACTTGATTGCACTTTTTGAAATTTTTAGGATTCAATTGCACTTTCTAACAAGTTTTAGGACTTGATTACACTTTTTGAAAATTTTAGGACTCGATTATATTTTCGTGACAAGTTTTAGGACTTCCAATGCATGTATGCCTACTATATAAGAAAAATATTATGGCCTAAGTTCAGTTAATGTCCTAAGGAACTTCACGACGAAGGATCACCGACAATAAGAAGTGATAATAGTGGAAGGAATTAGAATCTCTCCCTTAAGTTTTACAAGTCATTTTGTAAAAGAAAATCAATCAAATAATCATGAAGTTCAAGCGCTCACACTGTAGACAGCCGCGAGTAATTTGATGTCCCATTGTATGGACCAAACGGCGGCGTTTCCTCTTTCCATGAACAAAGCCACAACGGCACCCTCGACCATCCCCAAAAAACATATCCAAGCCGTGAGAGAGAGCTCAACAGGATATGTATGTAGTGTTATTGCCTGTTGGAAGTTACCAAAAAACCACGCTACCGCAAGTTAGCGTGTATTGTTGGTCATGATTAATCCTTATACTGTACCGATCTCTGAAAGCATCTCTTTTGAGAGTGTAAGGCACTAACTTGCAAAACTTAAAAGTACCTACTGATCCGATATGAGAAGATCGACTAAATTAGATTAATTACTTGGAGAATCATGAAGCAAGCCCAGCTGAAGCATGCAATTGTGATCATGAGAGAACCCTTGATGGAATTCCGGAGGCTGATCCCACTATTAGCACTCTCGTTTTGAATGTTGTTGGTGGTCGTCCCTCCTCCTTTTGTCCAAAATAGTTCGAGAACCGGACCTTTGATTAGCGTTATGATCATGGCGCCAGCAACCGTAGCTAGTGTCCCAAACACCTTAGCTTGGCTGTGAAAACTCTTCATTTTCACCTTCTCAAGCCTATGCAAATAGTGATTGAAAAGTCATTAATTGTCTTAAAAAGCTAAACCATAGACACTATCGTCTGATCCAATCGCAAATCAAAAGAATTTGAGACCTTATGATGAAAGAACTATCATATCATGTTCGCGATAAATCGAGTTCATTTACCGTTCTCCAAAAGCAGACAAATTGGTTGTTTTTCTGCCAGGTATGTACGTCGGACCAAGATTGGGTCCAATTTTAGCAAAAACTTAAGCATATTTTGACATCCCTTTGTGGTGAAAAAGTGATAGATATTATTAAAAGACGCGTACGAGAGTCATAAGACCTAGCGGTCACAATGGAGTGATTTGCTTGTATCAAGAGCAGAGTCAGCACACGTTCATTACCGAATGATCCAAGCCATGACGAAAGTGATGGCCGGAAGAATGTTGCACATGGCAGCTGCAAATGTCGCCGTCGTGTGCTTCATCCCCAAATAGTACAAGTTCTGGTCAATGACTGGCCTGAGAGAGAAGAATGAAACAACATGTCGAAGGTGGTGATGAACAATTTCTCGTGAAACCTTGTCTAATTTGTGGCAATAATAAGTTAACTTCATATTTACTCCAGTAAGCCAAGCAGCATCAGTCTGATGAAGATGGGGAGTGTCATGTTCGGCCTTGTTCTCCTGAGGAAGAAATGGTCACATGATTAATCAATCCAAAGTCAAGACTTCACATTTAATCAAAACTAAATGAAGCGAGGAGAATGCACGTGCATTCTGCATGCACAGGTGGAAGTGTTGACCCGATAAAATTCGCTCGACGAAACAAAAGGATGTATAGCAAGACCCCGCCGATAAAAAGAAGTTTTTAAACCTTTTCATTGATATAGGAATATTGTTGAGTGGGAACAAATTCAGGGAGCACTCAAACGTTCCTCACATATATTATTTCAAATTAAATGGTGGAGAGAGAGACTTGTCTAGGACGACGGCGAAAGGGGCAATGACCAACGTGGCGACGGCATGGCGGTAGACGACGAACACGTAATTGCTCATGCCCTTGTTTAGGGCAGCCTTGCAAAGGATATCCATCCCTGCCAGCCCGAATTGCAAGAATACCACAGCAAGGAAGGGCTTCAACTTGTGAAACAACGCCTTCATGTCCATTGCTTTCCTCGTTATCATATATCTTCTCCCTCCTACCGTGTGCTGGAGAAATATATCGAACCGGCTATAATAGCTTTTGTCCTTGGAGGGTGTCTTGGCAATGAAAGCTCCGACCCTCTAAATACAAAGCCCTTGTCCCAAAAGTCAGAGAATATTCTGCAACACGCATATTTATGTCCACACGTTTTTGACAAATCCTTGGCAAGTAAAGTGAACTCAAGAATATTGTTGTTGGGTTAGCTTATAAACAATTTCAAGAAAGAGAGTGACCCCTTTGCGCAATTTGCTTATTGTATGTGGTTGTATGAGGGTTGAGGGTCAATGGGAAAGGAATTGGTGCTCATGGACGTACGTAATGTATATTGCATCATTCATTAGGCTGGTTTTGATATAGTGATTCCAATCGTTGCCCTACATTCGACATAGCGACCCCTCTGAAATTACCATCAGAGTCCTATTGCTACGAAATGTTCGGATTGAAGATATAACGTACCACCTTCGGATCGAGCTTGACAATTCCGTCACCAAAGGTTTATCGAGATTGTAGCATTCAAAATATCTCTTCACATGAGAGAATGTCGCAACTACGCTAAGCAACATGACTCTAACTTGTGACTTTCTAAAAGGATAGATGAAGGAGACGAGTTGGCATTGGCTGCTATGTGCAATGAGCTCCGCCGCAATGACACCGTGAGAGGCGACCTACCATAGTGAGGGAAAATTACCAAAAAAGTCCTAAACCTTTTGCAGTTGTACTAATTCAGTCCTAAACCTTTTTTTTTTGCCATTTCAGTTCTAAACCTTTTACAATTGTGCCAATTCAGTCTATCCGGCCACTTTTGGCCAACCGGCGCTGACGTGGACGCCGGGCGGCTAACGTGGCATTATTTTAAATTTTTTTCTTTTTTTTTCCTTCTTCCCCCTGGCCGGACCGGCCAGGGGGAGGCTCACCGGCGAGGTGACCTCGCCGGCCATGGCGAGGCCAACCTCGCCGGCCATGGTGAGGTCGAGCTCGCCGGCCATGGGCGACAGCGAGGCCTCGCCCAGATCTGGCGAGACCTCGCCGTCGCTAGACGAGCTCGACCTCACCTCGCCCGGCCATGGAGAGGTCGAGCTCGCCAGCCATGGGCCAGGCCGAGCTCGCCCGACGACGACGAGGCCTCGCCCAAATCTGGCGAGACCTCGCCGTCGCCGAGCGAGCCCATGGCCGGCGAGGTCGAGCTCGCCGGGCGACGGCGAGGCCTCGCCCGGATCCGGCGAGACCTCGCCGTCGCCGGCGAGCTCGACCTCGCCCGGCGACGGCGAGGTCTCGTCGGATCTAGGCGAAGCCTCGCCGTCACCCATGGCCGGCGAGCTCGACCTCGCCATGGCCGGGCGAGGTCGACCTCCCTGGCGAGCCTCCCCCTGGCCGGAAGAAGGAAAAAAAATATTAAAATAATGTCAAGTCAGCCGGCCGGCCAAAAGTGGCCGGATGAACTGAATTGGCACAATTGTAAAATGTTTAGGACTGAAATGGCAAAAAAAAAAAAGGTTTAGGACTGAATTGGCACAATTTCAAAAGGTTTAGGACTTTTTTGGTAATTTTCCCACCATAGTGATGATCGTAGTACAACCTAAATCCTCATGATGATCGCATCTTAGCGTAGCTTAGGAATTTTTTATTTCCCATCTCAAAATGCGTTATAACTATTTTTCCTTTATATCGTTGTTGACTAAATTCGTGCATCTTTAGTACTCAATCTAATGAATGTACGAATTTGCGAAAACTTAGGTGTGAGCTTGTAGAACCTAATGTATTAGACGACGTATATTGCAAGGGGCTCTATCTTCCTTCATTCTGATTGGAGAAAACTGCCCCCATTCAAATCATTTGCTAGTGGGTTCTTAATCTTGTCAACATTATTCCTTTTTCTGTTCCTGGGAAAGATCGTCATTTTTATTTGGGAAAGCTTCGAGCACACATCGCACGTTCATGGTTCAATAGTTCGGGAATAGATGAAAAGGAGGAATCTGAGTTGAGTAATCCCCATCTCTTGTGGATTCCCCATATCAAGCATCTTTAATTGGTATTCTCCTGGTTCCTAAAGTTAACCCATGGAAATTGCACAGTGTGGTTGTGGAGCAGATTTATGTGTGTAAATTGAATATGGTTGGTAGAATTAGTGCGATTTGCTGTACCATCAAATGTAAACAAGTTCATGTACGACCCACCTAACATGACTTTGGCTCTCGTTTTATTCGATTCATAAGGTCGATAGGACATTTGATGGCATTTACATGCCTAGAGCGCGGGTAATAATATTTCGAAGTTGATTTGGTTATTCTTTCGGTGAAATCTTGCCTTTTTCTTTTTGGCTAACTAAGAGTTAATGCGACCTCCACTCGTACATTTGATGGAACCCTTTACAGTTCATGTGCCTTTGTTGCATGTGAACTCTTGAATCAAATGGATCTCACAAATGACCCAGGGCATTCATGTGTTGAGATGCATGCGTTGAAAATTTCGCCTAGGGTGCGCTTCAAAAAAAAAAAAAGTTTTGGTGAAGCGATTAGATATTGTTGGTTGATCCTTTTTAACGCAAATATGAGGGGTACATAGTCTATGCAAATATAGGGATAAGTGCAGAAACATAATTTAAAAGATTTTGGTCGTTGGTTAATTGAGAACTTAAGATCTTATTTTGCTCAAATGATGATTTAAGATTTAAAAAAGCTTAAATCGGGTTTTGAGCTTGCCGTCAATGGAATTTGGGCATCGACACGGGCAAACGACCAAAGCATTCCATGTGGAAGCCACGTCAGATTTTGAACCATTAAAATAAAGTCTTGAATCCTCAATTAATTAAAGATCAAAATCTCAAATCCTGCTTTTGCACTTATCCCTTCAAATATATTTTTTGTTGTCAATAGAAACAATGTAAAACTTCTGTTTGTGTTGGACGTGACATGTGATATATGTAGTGCCTAGACAATTTCTGTGAACAAGCCGTGTAGAACATGAACCCTGAAGATTTAAAGTTTGCCCTTAGGATCGCATGACTAGAAAATTATAAATCAAGAGCTTAAAAAGCTGGTGGAAAGATGGTTACATACCTGAGAGCTAATCAAAATGTATAAACTCGTTAACAAAGAACGTGAGATAACTTTCCAATATAGAAAAAAAATTATTAGCGAACGGAATAATTCCAAATAAGGGTATAGAGTACAAATAAAAACTTAGTTCTACCGCTTTCAAAGTTAAGAAGTACTCTTTCGTTTTATCAGTGAAACTGAAAAATTACAAATAAAGGTATGGAGTTGAGTCATTTTCCCAAAAGAAGTTCTAAAGTAGACTTTGTTTTACATAAGGACTTGAAGAGTGACCAATTTACTTTCAAATAAAGCCCCAGCTCACTAGCCAACCAAATCTTCACTGGCCGACTTGCACATGCAAGCCGCTTGCTAATTCAATGCAACATCAGGGATGATTTTCTCCGAAATTTTCTACTTTGACCCAATTTGAAGAGGCCCCAAATTGTGATGTTTCGGTTTCTCCTTATATTATGGGTACGATTTGTTCAATTCTCATTTTTCAGTTACTATTTTGAAGAGATTCTTGTATTTATTTAAATTTTCTGCGTTATTACATTCATAATAAATTTGCAAGAGTTGACAATTTGGGGCTTTTTTGTTTTTGATCAGGAGACTTTTTTGACTTAGCACGAACCTTAATTTAAATTTGGGTCAAAGCAGAAAATTTTGGACAAAATTACTATTTAAGTTGCCGATGTAATAAGCACATGAGCCGCATGTGCAAGTTGGCCGGGCCAGCGAAGATTTGGCCAGCCAATAAGGTCGGTCCTTATTTAAAACTAGATTGGCCAATTCAAAACTTTATTTGAGATAATATCAATTCTTGACCATCTTTTGAAGAAATAGCCCAACTTCAGGCCTTTATGTAAATTTTCTTCTTAGTAAACTTTGTCCTCCTGCGCAGTAAAAATTTTGAAAAAATATTTCTTTCAGTTTGTTGTTGAAAACAATTTTTTTTTTATTTTTCAGATGAAAACATCATTTTCGTTTTGGCCAAACAGAAAACTAGATCAAAATGATTCAAACCAAACAGCCTTAGACAAGAATTGCTTCATCCTTGTGGAGGGATATGTCTGATAAAGTGACTGTACCCAAAGAAAATGCACAAAAAACAGCACAACAAAGAAAAGCATGAATGATGAAAGGAGTTGTCTTATTAGTGGCAGACAATAAAACAAGCCATTTTTATCCCTCCTCTCCAAATATCTCAAAATAATTTAATTTGTTGTTCATTCTTCAGTTTTTCTTTTTTTCCCCCCTTTAATTTATGTTAATAGAACCATTTAGTGGAGTTCATTGAAAAAGCAATCGACTAGGCACCGACCCCTCCCTCTACTTTTTCTTTTGAGGCGTTAGGGTTAGGCCTTAGTGGCTTGACTGCTCACTAAAAGAATTCGGAATCGGATCCTCTTAATCTATGAGGTTACAAAGACTTAATGTGAGTGATGTAGACGCAATCGCTAAAGACTTTTTAGAGCATTCAGACCAGCAGAAACCCAATAAACAAGTCTTAGAGGGAAGAATTCACGCAATAGACGATAAACCAGCCACACTTTTTTTTTATCGGGGTGGAATTACGAGACCTATAATACTAGTTAAAAAATTCTCGTTCAAAATGGAATACTTTGGCAAAAAGGGATCACCGAGGCCCAGCAACCGACGGAGGAAGAAGGAAAATATATATATTAAAAATTTTGAATTTTTTAAGTTGTAAAAATTTGTCCACGTTAGCATCGGTCATGTCATGTAGGAAGGCTGACATTCATGTCAATAATTTCCGGACTAAATTGGTCGAAATGACTAAATTGATAAATTGTCAAAAGGTTTATGACTAAATTGACACAATTAAAAGGTTTATGACTGTATTGGCACAAGTGCAATAGGTTTAATACTTTTTTAGTAATTTTTCCAATGAGCAATTCTTTCTTCCTTTGCAATGAAGGGATCGTTTGGAGACATGCAAGAGTGGTGACAGGATGAGAATATACATTAAGAAAGACAAGGGT